ACTCCTTCGCCTGGATTTTATAGGGAAAATTTTCCATAAGTAGTGGATTGTGGCACTGGGTACCTTGTACCCAATGATTTTTGCCAGCATTCTGGCTACTGGAGGGGGGTGAGCACCACAGCACTGGGATGTGCTGGCTCTGGCAGCTTTCAGGGCTGCTCTCTTGCACATCCCGTCCAGAGCGTTCTGTGGGACAAGGTGAAGAACAGAAAACAAATCCAAGGAAATGCATCTTCTTTCGTTATTTTTAGGCATTTAGCTCATATCAGTTGGCAAAGGCCGCTTGTGCAGAAAGAAACGATTAGGCTATACGGCCACCTCCTGGAGGACATCGGTATGTGCTCGGCTGCCGGGGCCACCCGATGGGTGACGGTTCATGTACGACTGGGCAAGGAAATCACCCACACATCTCTAGCTATCGGTACACTCCTTGTGACACACGCGCCTGTCTGACTTCAAACAGTGGAGGTGATTTTCTGCCTTTCTCCCGGTGCACTAAGTATTGAGAGTTAAGAGTTTGAGAGCAAAACCTTTAAAAATGCACTAGTCCAAGGAAAATGCAAAGGCATAATTTTTTAGCATAGGAAACATAGCTGTCATGTGTTTTTGTTTAACAAGGCCTGAGGAAGTTACTAATACTTATTTGAGCTGCTTCATGGAGCTTTTTAGTGTTCTTCACATTTCCTGCACATGGATTTTGGGAATTTCCTTTCGGCAGAGGCTTGCGGTGCCAGTATGTGATTGCTCTGGGTGCATGGACCCAAGGGAGTGTGGTCTCCTTGCCCCTACCCCAACCCTCAGCCTCCTACTTCCCTAATGGGTCCTTCCCAGAGCCCAGAGCCTGATGTCACCTGGACTGGGGGACCAGGAGCCACCAAACAGGGTCACCACCACCAGCTTTGGCTGCTCATGTTGTTTCTTCATCCAGGACTGATTTTTCCTTTGATTCCTGTTTGAAGCTAAGGAATAACCAGGCATACTGGTTTGCATAAGCCTCTCACCTCAAAGCTTTCTGGACTGCATAGATAATTGAAACAGGGGTTGGATGTCTGTGGCTTCATCAGCATCATCTTCTCAGATCTGCTTTTAGTACCTTTTCCCTGTGCAACAGGAGTTACGTCCCTTACATGGATCACTCAGGGAAGCATTTTATGGCTGCTTTGTACATGGGTTTGGTATAACTAAGCATGCAAATTGCTGGTGATATTTGCAGTCATCACACAGCTCATTTACCAGCAGGGACTGTTGAAAGCAATCATCCTTTTTACCCTCAGAGCCCAAAGCACCAACAGCCTTTGGGCTGGAAAGAGCCATAGTCGAAGTCAGCACCTCTTCAGCGAATGGCAGCCAGCAGCCACACCAGGACAGCGTCTGGACACGTGGTTTTGGTCCTGTGATGCTCACCAGCAGTGGTTTATGCCTCTTTGCCTGTTGTGGTAATCACATTGCTTTCTCTTTTTTCAGATATTCTACAGAGTGGTAGCAGATATTGAACCAGGAGAGGAGCTCTTGCTGTTCATGAAGAGTGAAGATTACTCGCATGAAACAATGGCTCCAGACATTCATGGTAAGCCACTTCTTATTGTCCAATCTAATAGAAAGTATCATTGAAATTAAGCAAAAATTTAGGGAGATTTCTCCTCTGTGGAATTCTTTCAAAATCTGGGATGGCTTCACTGCAGCCTGGCAGGAGAGCTGGGCCACGGTTGTATTTATCTATCTCCTGCCTTACTGTTTCTGTGAAAGCTGTTCAGTAAATGAATTAGTGTATTATCACAGCTCCTTCAGTCCCTCTGACGGGCAAGTCTGCTCTCAAAAGTGATGCCGACACTGGTATTGGGGGACTTCTCTGTTTATTTTCTTCTTCACTCCATCACTCCAGCCTGGTCCAGCCAGCTTCACTCAGTGTTGCATTTGAATGCAACTGAATGTTTCTTCATTTGATGTTGCACTTTCACAGAATCACAGAATAATTAGGGTTGGAAGGGACCTCTGGAGATCATCTAGTCCAAACCCCCTGCCGAGACAGTGTCACCTGGGGCAACTTACACATGAATGTGTCCAGGCAGGTTTTGAATGTCTCCAGAGAGGGAGACTCCACAACCCCCCTGGCCAGCCTGTTCCAGTGCTCTGCCACCCTCAACATAAAGAAGTTTTTCCTCATGTTGAGGTCAAACTTCTTGGGTATTAGTTTATGGTCATTGCTCCTCGTCCTGTCACTGGGCACCACTGAAAAGAGTCTGGCGCCATCCTCCTAGCACCAGTCTTTCAGATATTTATATGCGTTTTCTACCTGTTAATCTGGGCAGCTGTACTTTGCACAAATGATACTTCTCAGCATTAAGTCCCTGCAACTCCTAATGTTGTTCAGGTTTTACCTCATTTACTTGAATCTCCCTGGCAGAAACAGAGGTTGGCAGATTTTAACAGGGTAGTAGTAAGGCTTCAAGATTGAAATCTGATCATTCTGTGTGTATTGCAAAAGGAGAGAAAGAGTCTATGTCCTCATCTCTAGGCTGTGCTGCTCCTGCAGGACCTGTGCAGACCCTGATTATGGGTTATTTTTTGTTACTTAGCTAAACAACTGTTATTCTATCACCTTGAAAGGAGAAAAATTTGGTGGTTAATATTGCTGTCACTTGTGAGTACACTTGAGGCATTTTTCCTCCTTGTGCTCATTTGTTACTGATCTGACTCACAGATTCTGGGTCTGAAACTCCTGAGCTCTTGCTGCGATTTGTCCCCCATCTCCAAAAGCTCCTTTTGCTGTGCTGTCCATCAGACAGTGGGTTATACAGCCACAGTGGGGACTGGGTGTGGGATATCTACTTGATGCGTGTTAGGTTGCAGTTTATGCCAATGTGGATATTTTACAAATTCTCAGGGATTCAGGGACGGTACACAGGGGTTTTCCCAGGGCAGGTGGAATCAAGGGCAAATGTATAACTGCCTGCACATTTAGAACAGTATCTTTTGTTCTCTCAAGAAGAAGTTGGGGATCATTCATTAGTAATTTTGTTTAGTTATTGCTAAAGATGTCCCCCTTTTCAAGCATAGTGTTTTCCATGCCTAGTCCCTGTGGTCAAGCAGCTGATGTATTTCCTGGCACCAGAGGAAATCTCTGCATTCACATGCAAGAATATGTCCCACAGGGCTAATTTAGAAGTAGACTGAGCCAAAGTATTGCTTGTGGACAGTTTGCAACAGAGCCCTATGATGCTTTCTCTGCAACAGGTGTCAAGCCATAACCAACTGCACACATTAGAGATTTCAGCCAGACTCCTCAGTGCCTTTCTGACTCAGACCCCCATGGCATTTGTATCTGTAGGGCAGGTAACACTCCAAAGTGACACTCTAGTTAATCTTCTACACTTATTTCATTAAGAAACACATTATTTATGGAATTTAAAGCAAGGGCCCCAACTTCATGCATCTCTGGCTTACTTTGAACATGGTTGGGTGCTGCAAAAGGACTCTGATGGAAATGAAGACACTTTTCAAAACTATAAACACCCTCTGGCTATTTTAGATGCTGTTGTTCATGTCTAAATTAGTCTCCTTCATTCAGAAACTTGGAGACTGGCAGCCTCCACTGGATATCCACCTATGACTCTCTATTTCCCCATTTAGGATAGTATATAAAGACACTGACATTTTTTCTAAGCCAGTGTTAGGAACCCCTATTGAGTGTCACCCAGGAAATTAGCAGGTAGTATTGCACTGTCACATACTGTAGAATTAAAGCATTATTATGAAGTGTTCTAAGGCATCCATGTTTCTTTTGAGGTTCTTCTCTCTTTCACTGAATAGATATTTATTGAACCACGCTGTCATCAAACTCCTGCTGGGATGGTAGTTAAAAATGATTGAAAAGTGATGCAGTTTCCCTGTGCCCAATCCCTTTGTCTTCCAGAGGAGCGTCAGTATCGCTGCGAGGACTGTGACCAGCTCTTTGAGTCCAAGGCTGAGCTTGTAGACCATCAGAAGTTCCCGTGCAGCACACCTCATTCTGCCTTCTCCATGGTGGAGGAGGACTTCCAGAAAAAGCTTGAGAATGAGAATGACCTTCAGGATGTGCATGAAATCCAGGAGTGTAAAGAATGTGATCAAGTCTTCCCAGACTTACAAAGGTAGGAGTGGATGCTTGAAACTATTGAATGAGGCAAATCCTGCGATGGCTTCAGTCAGATGGTGCAGGGCATCAGCTAGGGCAGAATCTGATACTTTCGTTTTATATACAAACCAAAGATGAAGATGAATAAGACTTCTGTGCCAGTTGGTGTTTTATGGCATAGAAAACAATGGAGTCGCAATAATACCAGAAATTTGGTCCTTATACTGAAGTCCTTTGTGGGGACCTTAATTAAGAACTAGCTCTTCTAATAATCAGATCTTTAGCTGGCATGAATTGGGCTTGTGCAGTGAAATTAGAGGAGTGATTATAGTTCAGATCAATTAAGCTCTTTGTTTTTAGGTAAAAATAACTTACAACATCTCCAAGTGGTGTTCACTGACATTACAGATTTTATCTTTGCAAACAAGCTGTGCTAGTTAGAGGCATGTTCTAGTTGTACTGAGAGAGTTGGGGTTGTTCAGCCTGGAGAAGAGAAGGCTCTGGGGAGACTTTACAGCAGCCTTCCAGTACTTACAAGGGGTCTACAAGACCTACAAGAAAAGCAGGAGAGGGACTTTTTACAAGGGCATGTAGGGGTAGGACAAAGGAGAACGCCTTTAAACTGAAAGGTGGTAGATTTAGATTAGATATTAGAAAGAAATTCTTTACTGTGAGGGTGATGAGGCACTGGCATAGGTTGCGTAGAGAAGTTATGGATGCCCCATCCCTGGCAGTGTTCAAGGCCAGATTGGATGGGGCTTTGAGCAACCTGGTCTAGCAGCAGGTGTCCCTGCCTATGGTAGGGGGATTGGAATTAGGTGATTTTTAAGGTCCCTTCCAACCCAAATCATTCAATGATTCTATGATATATATGTCTGTAAGTTAATATATGTTTATAGTTGTACTGTCTTGAAACAGTGGGTTCTTCTTTTTATTACATATATGTGTGTGTTTATAAACAGATAGACCCATGTGCATATGTACCTGAAATATGCATAGAATGTAAATAGAAATTGTGACTTTTATATGCTGAATTTCATTTATGTGTTTCATGTCACTATAATTTTTGTGGCTACTTAAAATGCTGTATTGCAGTGGAGATTACAGCAAATTTTGAAAATTACTGAAAGATATTGAGGTTACACAAGAGCTTCTGCAGCACATCCCTCACAGATTCACATTTTAATGCTTTTCAGGACCAGGGGAAGGTTGACCCCAGCCAACATTTGATAATAATGCTGAGGTAGCTCAATAACAAAATCCTGGGCCAGATCCTCCGCTATGATGAGGCAGTGCATTCCTTAGGAAGCTGGTTTACAGCAGCAGCAGACCTGGGCCAGTATCTTTTGCTTTTAACCAGGGTCTGTAGCACAGCTTCCACACTCTCAGAGTGACTTCTTTCCTCTCCACATTATGTGGGCACAACCGAAGTGACTATTAACTGCCCTTTTAGGGACAGCAGTGTATTTATTTGCATTGCTTAATAATCGTAAGCTCCTTAAATATTGACTTGTCAATTTAGAGTGTTTTTGGGGTTCATATTTTTCATAGAAATTTTTACTAGTCCATGATTCAGGGTATTGTGGTGTCTGTTGGAGGTTAGCATGGATTTGTGCATGCCCAGGGTTAACCCCACTGGACAACTGCTTCTGGATCCTTCAGGTGCTAGTTCTGCAAGATGGAGCCCTCTCTCCCGAAACACGGATGCTCCTTAGATCCTGAGGTGGATCGGCATCATGTGGGGTGTCTTCAGTCAGTGTAGTGTATGACCCGATCCTTACACTTCTGCAAAATTAATGACACCACAATTAAAACATCATGTGCCAAACATTGTTCTCTGCATACTAGGTCAACCCAGTTGAACAGGAATTTATTCAGGCACAGGGTCTTATTCTTCAGCTGATGTTAAGCAGTATGCAGCTCCATATGTCTAATTTTCGACCTGAGTGATTGATTTGGAAGGGCTGATGTAGGTAGATAAAGTCAAAAGGGTTGCAGCAGTGTGAGTGAGGCAGGAGTCTGGACTGTAGTATTTTTCCATGTTGTGAGTTATTCAGTGTTAAAGTTCTTTTCTGCCTGCAAACCAGAGGACGATATCTAACATATGGGAATCATTCAGGAAATGTAAATTTAGCTTAAAGTATTAAATATTGACGAGAAAGGGCAGAAAACAAAGAACGAGTCATCATAAATAGATGGGCAGTACTGTGAGAAAGAGTGAAAAATGAGAGAAAATGCAGTCATTCTCTGAACTCCTGAATTATTGAAAGGCTAATAACACCACAAAGACAGTTCACAGCAAAAAAAGTACCAAAGTGTGCTATATCCAGATTATATAAAACAAAAGGCCTGAATGAGACATGCTTGAGGGTGTGCGTGATTAAATGGAGAAAGAGCAGAGCAGGAAGATGGAGATCTGAGGGGCCAGGACAGCCCAGCGCTGATGGTAGATCACATAGCTGTGGCAGGCGTCCGGGAGCTGGTGCCGGAGCTGGGGACAAGAGTCTCTCTGGTTTTACAGTGAAGTTGTTTACCAGTGCATGATGGAGAGTCAATTGTTCTAGAAGTATTAGGAGGGGAAACCAGAATTATTTTTCTCCCCCAAAGGAAGAAGATTGAAAGGGGTTAGGAGTAAAGAGCATCCGCAGGGTGAACACTTTTCCGTTACCTGTGGTTGAGAATAGAGGTTGTTATTAGGGCTGCACCATCCAAAGGAGACTGTAAACCCAGCAGGTTTTGTCCACTGGTGCAGCAGAGATCAGTGGGAGATTCACTTGAGGAAAGATTGATCTGCTTTGGCATCCCAGGCTAAAAATCCCAGTTTGCAGTGCTTTTTTTGTGAATCTACTCTTACATTATGTAGTGATCCTCAAGCAGCAGTGTGAGCCACGACTCTGTATGTGACCAAGCAGTACAGGTGTTTAGAAATATATATTTTCTCAAATGAATAATAAAACAGGAATTCAGAAAATTCTGAGACAAAAATGAATTCAAAGATGTGTAGCACAAATTGTGTGGAGATTGAATACCCTACTAATAAATGAATGAACAGCTATACAATTGAACACAGTTAATAATAATCAAATATAACTTCTGTTGTAGTGTACCATATTTAGAGGCTTTTTATGCTCATCCTGTCCTGCTCCAGTGGAGTTTCTCATCATCTATTCCTGTTGTAAGAAAAATTGACACCTATTAAAGGAGTAGAATTACTTCAGGTGGTGTGGGATCCAAGGTGTGCTTAGAGGGAAAGTCATAAAATAGAAATAATTCAGACTGCAGGGAAGAATTACCAGAGTGAAATACTGAGAAGTGTATGAAATAATCTCCTTAGGGAGCAATGGCAGCATCATCCTGGGCTGTATCAAAAGCAGCAGGTCAAAGGAGGTGATCCTGCCCCTCTACTCTGCTCTTGTGAGACCTCACTTGGAGTATTGTGTACAGTTCTGGTGTCCTCAACATAAAAAGGACGTGGAGCTGCTGGAGCAAGTCCAGAGGAGGCCACGAGGATGATAAGAGGACTAGAGCACCTCCCATATGAAGACAGGCTGAGAAAGTTGGGACTGTTCAGCCTGGAGAAGAGAAGGCTGCGTGGAGACCTCATAGCAGCCTTCCAATATCTGAAGGGGGCCTACAAGGATACTGGGGAGGGACTCTTTGTTAGGGACTGTAGTGGTAGGACAAGGGGTAATGGCTTTAAACTTGAACAGGGGAAGTTTAGATTAGACATAAGGAAGAAGTTCTTTCCAGTGAGGGTGGTGAGGCACTGGAATGGGTTGCCCAAGGAAGTTGTGAATGCTCCAACCCTGGAGGTGTTCAAGGCCAGGCTGGACAGAGCCTTGGGTGACATAGTTTAGTGTGTGGTGTCCCCTGCTCATGGCAGGGGGGTTGGAACTAGATGATCTTAAGGTCCTTTCCAACCCTAACGATTCTATGATTCTATCTCCTGGAGCATTTGTAAGTAGCCTGGAAAAACATGAGAGGATGTGGTATTCTGGTAAGAGTAGGATGTTCTGCCTCCCGGCTGGGGTGAGCCAGGTACTTAAAGGACTTGGGTCCATCAGGATTGGACCTTTGGGGCTTTTTTAAGGGTTTTTTTCCTGTAATTATGTGCTCTGCTGTCTCCTCTTCCTATAAACCAGTGATAAAGCCACATGTGTGGGGGACCTCACTGAGCCCTGTTCCTGTTTCTGCAGCCTGGAGAAGCACATGCTGTCACACAGCGAGGAGAGGGAGTACAAGTGTGACCAGTGCCCCAAAGCTTTTAACTGGAAGTCCAACTTGATACGCCACCAAATGTCGCACGACAGCGGGAAGCACTACGAATGTGAAAACTGTGCCAAGGTACAGTGAATTTGTAGGCTGCCTGGCACTTCTTGTGCTGCTGGATGCACGGGAGCATGGAAGTGGGCATGCCTGGGGCTGGGATGCTGGAGGGAATAGAGCTTCTTCTGTGCTCCAGACTGATTCTCAGGGGTTTACAATTCTACTTTATAAATATGTTACTTTTCTACCCCTTTTGATTTGGAAATGGCTGTAGAGTTTGAAATGGGCACTGATGCAGGTTGTGGAGCATCCCTGAGCTCAGGGCTTGGTGCTTTGTGAGGACTGGTGGGGTGTAAGGAGGATTACTGAGGGGCAACAAACCCTAGGGAAATGCAGGGTGGATGGGTCCCCTAGGCTGTGTGCCAGCTCTTGGTACCAGAAACTTCAGGACACTACTGCAGTATATCAAAATAAGAAATAGCGATGGGCACCAGCTGTGCAAGGTGAGTGCAACTATCTCATCTCTAGAGCATCTCTATCACTTCCCAGCACTGGGCTTCCTGTATAGATCATTTGTATAGGATGTGGTGCTCTTCATTGCCTTTTATCAGATTCCCAAAGCTTGGGCCTTTTGCATGAGGTCTTTCTTGTTTTTAAGTAGATTTGCTGCAATAATGGGAATTCTATATTGAGCTGATGCAACCAAGCCCTGGGTGCTAGAACTGTGTCATGTACTGGATTTCTTGCTGTCACACGCTCAGTTGTTGCTATGAAGTATTTCTACTGCATTAATGCTTAGAGGTTTCAAACAGCCACTTTTTGACTCATTTTCTGTGAAGGCTCTGACCTCTCAAAAGTACAATTGCTAATGGCAGGATCAAATGCAGCTGCTGCAGTAGCTTCAAAGGGGTTAACAGATCCACCAAATACTTGGCTGATCCTGGGAAACTGAGGCCCCATCCTGTAGGCACAGCTCCCATTGACGTCTGTTAGTGAGGTTTTTAATCTTAAAAGACTCCCAAATATCTCCAAGGTTTGAATTTTAAAAGACTCTTGTAATAACTTGCTTCTTCAGCAGTCAAGTTTCTTGATTAATCAGTACTCATTTCCTAGCAGGTTTTCACGGACCCCAGCAACCTTCAGAGGCATATTCGTTCCCAGCATGTTGGGGCTCGTGCTCACGCTTGTCCAGAGTGTGGCAAAACCTTTGCCACTTCTTCAGGCCTCAAACAGCATAAACACATCCACAGCAGTGTCAAACCTTTTATATGTAAGTCTTCAACTAAACGTCTTTGGTTAAGTGTTATGTCTTTTTCATAAAGCAGCGTAATCTGGAAACAGGAGATTGTGTTGTGCTCCTTTTAAGTTTCTCACCTGTTTCTTGGGGGCTGTGAGTTACTGTATGAGCTCTGGGTAATTTGTAGTCCAATGCAAAGCAGTATTTTCATACAGTTTTCCTTTTCAGACAGACACTGGATGCTGTACAAATGTACCTATTGTCCTTGGGTTACTTTTTCCATGCACAGAGGCAGAGAGCAAATGGGGAGTGAGATTTAGAAAGAAGGAGCCGTCCCAGTCTTGGTGGCTGCAGCCTTGTTGCTTTGCACCGTGCCAAGCTGGCTGCTCTCCCTCCTGCTCCTCTGCACCAGCAGTGGTCCCCATGCTGCACCCTGTCCTGGATCCAGCCCTGCTGTGCTGGCACAGGAGAGGAGGTGGCAGCGTGAGGGTGGGGGTTGCCACCACAGCTGCGACATGCTGGGAATTAGGAAAAGCCAGCAGTATCTGGAAGGCAGCTTTGCTTTTGGAGTTAATTTTGGGCTACAAAGTCTCCAGAGCAGATGCCATGACTTTTGATTGAGTTGGAAAATAAATCTTAGAGGCAGTAGATTTCAGTCAGAGGAGCTTGCCGCCCTCCTGAGGCTCCTTTGCATACCCCAAATTTAAGTATCAAGTTGAGCTATTAGGTCTTCGCGAGCAGCTGCTCCAGCCATAAAACTTTCCTTGTATGTGGGCCTGACTCTGTACTGGGCTGTAAATTGGATCCTCAGAGTTTCATGTGTTGTGTTTACTGCTGAGCCAGATCCTGCTAGGTAACAGTGCAGGTTGCTTTCTCTCCCCTTCACCAAAGAAGCAGAGGCAGAAAATATTTACGAATACTGTTCTTGGTAGTGTTACTCTTCACCACAGTCTTTTCAGGCAACTGCTATGGCTTGAAAGGCACGTTGTGAACACCTTCTCTACTTGTCTGGTAAACTTCTTCGTCTTCTGCTGCGCTCAACAATAATTTACCAAAATGTCAACACCATACTCGAACAAAGTGTCAACTGCACACTAAGATAATTCCTCAAGAGGAGTATTGGCTTGAAAGATTCATTTGTGTGAAATCTTTATACCAGACATTGGGTTAGATAATAACTTTGGTTTGGCCTTCTTCAGTGAGAAAATGTCTAACTAGATCCACCAGTAAATATCACTAATAATTTTTAAACCCTATTGTAACTTAAGTAATTACACTTAAAGATTATAATTATTAGAGAAAGGTAACTTCTGGCTAGGTAGGGAGACTTCAAATGGTCCTGTTGCAATGTCCTACATAAAAGTCTGTAAGTGCCACCTCTTATAAATGAAATAATCTCTCAAATGGTTTTTGTAGCTATTTATTCTGATAAACCAGCAACCAGTATTCTTCATATGTACAGTGTGAGGGATGAAAACCCATTGAGCAACCTATGAGTAACAGCCATATAATTGCAGAACAAAAGGGTTTGGAGACCACGTGTTTGATAGGCTTTGCCGAGCGATGGGAGGGAGGTAGGGTCACCTAAAGGAGATATCTGTTTTCCACCAGAAGGCCACACACCATGATTTACTCGTACCAGTCTGTTTATGGCAACTGTCTCTTATTACAGTACACCACCCAAGCTTGAGTGAAAACTCACCAACACTAAGGTAATTACTCACTGCCTTCACAAAATCTCCAGCCTCTCCAAATAGAAACCACATGCCATAATAGACTGAACATATTCAAAATAGTAATTTTTTTAATAAGCAGAAAATATGCAAACTTAACTGCTGGCTAATTTGGGGTCTAGAGACAATTGCGTTGCAGAGTGTGAGTAGGCATGAGATGAATTTTTGCAATTTGGGAGCCAGATTGGAGGTTTATGTTAAACCTGGGGTCTATAGAGCAATAAAACCTGCATCGAAAGAAGCTTCTCTTAGAAATTAGTCACTTAAAAGTATGGCACTGAGATTTAAAGGGTGTAATAAGATGTAATAGGAGAAATCAAACCCAGCTTCTGTTGCTTTGATATGTGGAAGCAATTAAAGTTGATAACCATCCCCCGTCTACTAAGTCTAAGCAAAACTTTACTTGGAAATAAAAGTGATGTGAGGAAAAGAGGTAGATCTTGTAGTACAATTTTATCTGATGAGTCCTGACTCCTGGGAATATCCACAGAGGTTGAGGTGGTGCAGTTGATTTAGACAGAGTCTCTGCGCTTCACTGATGCCATGTTACACCCCAGCTTCAGGCAGTAGTCCCCAAGAGTAAGACTACTCTGGGAAGTAAGAGCTTCAGACCTGGACCCAAAATTTCTTTGCCAACCTTGAGAGCTCGTGAATTGAATAGACTGCTTGTTAAGTGCAAGAGGCACCTTGAGTGAGTAGCACTTCATTAAATAATTTTAAATAACTTTTATGCTCAAAAGGTAGTCTTTGGTACAATTGTTAATTGTTTTATTGAGATTACAATAATAAATATTTACATATTTTAACAGTATCCCCACTATTGTTTTGATTTAGTTTTAAAACGAAGATAAAATATATTTAGTCAAATGATTAATTTGCATCTCCTTTAGTAGTTCGTAAGGATAGCTTTCAATTGTATGTATTTTGCTTTTCTCCAGAGTAGAATATTTCTTGTTTCTGATGATTTTTGAGCAGGTTAATGGAGAATAATAATGTAATAATGTACCACTGTTCTTTAAGGGAGAACTTCCCAAACTTTAAGAAGACCAAATCTGTAGCAATACACCCCTTTTCACCTGCTTGCCACTCTAGCCTACTTGAGTGAAGTGTTCTATTTAATACAGTCATGTGAATAAGAAGCATGCCCTCACACAACCTGTTAGAAGATCAAAAGTTAACAAAACATGATTTGTTTTGAATTATATATTAGCCTAGCCTTGTAAATGTATGCATTGGAAATATTTTCTTTTTCTTGAAAAGTATACATGGTTGATGCTCTGCTGCTTATATGTTAGGCATAATTCTATCAGTGTTTATTGATAGTTATCCTGCATTACAAAAGGAAAGGAGTTGACCCATAATATCCACATTGAAGCTTATGCAAACATATGGATATGTCACTCTGAGTCACCATTCTGGTCAGTTTGATTTTGATTTCTGTGATCAGCCTGCTGGGAGCAGGGGCGATTTTTGTGTTAAGACCTCAACAGTGAAGGTAAGGGGTCTGATTCTGTACTGTGAAATATGGAGGTGACTCTCACTTGTGGGAGCAGAAACCTTATGCCTACAATTAGGCTAAAAATAGGAGAAAATAGCAGAAAACTGCAACAAGCAAATGATGAATAGTTCTATATAAAATGAAAAAAAAAAAGAGTTCTGTGTTAAATAGGCAAATAAAATGTTAAAAAAAACCAAAACCAAACCAGAAAGTACTTATCCAGAGAAAGTCAAGCATTTACAAGGAACTAGAATAAGTCTCCTCTCCTCTCCTCTCATCTCTTCTCCTCCTCTCATCTTTTCTCCTCCTCTCCTCTCCCCTCCCCCCCTCCTCTTTTTTCTTTTCCTTCATGTGTCTTTTTTGTTTATATTCCCTCTTTTTTCTTTATTTTTAATTTTATTTTTAATGTTATCTTTTTTCTTTATTGTCTTTCCTTGTGAATGAAGATTTCTAGCAGGAACAGTAACTGATACACAGCAACAAACATTCTTCCTGAATTACCACATTGCAAATTTCCTGTGTTTGGGCCCAATTCTGCACTCTTTACCCCACGAATTGTCCCAGGGATGTCAACGGGATGGGACGTGAACAGGGAAAATGGGTAGATCAGGCAGCATCAGGCCTCAAACAATAGGAGCATTGTTGCTGAGATATGAAGCAGCCTGCTTAAGAGGTAAACAGTTAAGAGATGACAACAAGTGGTCAAGTTTCTCAAGGGCAGAGATTTAGAGGCGCAGGAAGGTTAGTGTGGCCCCGGTGTGAGTGGAAGCTAGAGGACGTGATTGCAGTTCATGGGAACCAAAAGTGCAGGATGGGATACATTCAATTCAGTTTCCTTTGCAGGCTTAAAATAGAGCCATTGTAAATTATGTCAGTCTGTCTCGAATCATGAAAATGATTGTTAAAAAGGCCTCAGAATACACAATGTGTATTGTTGAGTGGCTTTGATGTGTGAAAGATGAGAGCTTATGATATAACACAAGTTAAATAAAAATAAAGTGGCCACATGCTTTTTCCTGGCTGGAAAAAAAAAAAAAAAAAAAAAGATTTATTGCAGAGGGATGACACTGCTTACCAGTAATGCTATTGCTTTGTTTTTAAACTGTTAGAAGCAAGGTATGGCAGAGGTACAGGCAGATTTTAGGGTAGTGAAGAGACAAGAAATGGCACAGCCTTGGGACTTGCTTGATGCCCCTACTCATCCCAAGAATACAAAAAGGGAACATAAAAAGGCACTGGGGAGCTGAGCATTATCCTCTTTCAAACCACATTTTAACTTTTAAAGACCTACAACTTGGTTGTTGTCCCAGTTTGCTCCCTAAGGTCTGTAGCAGCCAGAGGGTTAGGGACCTGAAAAATCTCGTTTGTTTCAGCGACGTGATTCACTCTTCGTAGCATCTTGCTTAGCACCACCGGGACAACTTTCTGTATCCTGCTACTAAAAATGGTTGCTGGAAGCTATGCTTTGATCTGCCAAGTGTTACAGGTTAGATCAGGCCCATGAACTTGAGGTAGATCTTCTCCCATCTGTGGTTTCAGGCTTTCTCCAAGTGCTGCTTTTGTGAGGCTGAAGCTATTCTCATCCCAGAGGAGTTTGAAAGGAAATCCATTGAGCTGTTTTGAGCATCACACATGCAAATACATACAGCTGTGTTCTTAAACAAGTTGTTGTCAAAATAGAGTGTATTTTTTCATATGCAAGAGACATTCATATGCAAGCAACATTAAGACTAGTAAAATTATTAAAATGTGGAATTTAGAGTTACAGCACCCCAGGCAACTGTAGGGACTGTATGAATTCTATGAATAAAAGTGCCTTGGACATGTGAGGTATTCTGGCCTGTACTTTCATGAGATTAAATTCTTAATTGTAAGTGAAAAAAAAAATACTGGTTGTTAATAAGGTTACGCACTTGAAAGTATCTGGTTGTCTCCTCCTTCGCTTCTTTTGTATCTTTATGGTCTTGCAGACTGAATGCTCTGTGAGGCAGCTCTGTCTGTCTCCTGTCTGGTCCTGCAATTATTTATTTTAATGACTAACTTTCCACATGGTAACAGTGATCTAAATGGATGTCATTTGAAAACACGAGTGCTTGCTGATGCAAGAGCACTGTGGGTTCATACGGCGTTACAGCACTGAGACATGGGTCTTGGCGTGGCTCTGGATGCTAATGCAATATGGAATAATGTTACCAAATATGCAACACTGTGCAATGCAAAGAGCAAATAAGGAAACTTTGTCTTTTAGTGATTTCGTACCTTTTCTGGTTTGTTGGAGTGGGTTTTGGTGCTGTCTTTAGACATTTGTCTGCTTGGATGCCTTGCTTTAGAAGAGTACAATAGCTTTTTGTACATTTGTGCACCCTGACTTCTCCTTATGGCTTCCTAATTGACATTTAGTGGGTAAAAAAATGGTGGTGTTTGCAAAATTTTGAGAGTGCGGGGAAACTACCATAAAGCCTGAGATGTGTTGTTGTTGTTGTTTACATACAGGTGAGGTCTGCCATAAATCCTATACTCAGTTTTCAAACCTTTGTCGTCATAAGCGCATGCATGCTGATTGCAGAACCCAAATCAAGTGCAAAGACTGTGGACAAATGTTCAGCACTACGTCTTCCTTAAATAAACACAGGAGATTTTGTGAGGGCAAGAACCATTTTGCAGCAGGAGGATTTTTTGGCCAAGGCATTTCACTTCCTGGAACCCCAGCTATGGATAAAACGTCCATGGTTAATATGAATCATGCAAATCCGGGCCTTGCTGACTATTTTGGAGCCAATAGGCATCCTGCTGGTCTTACCTTTCCAACAGCTCCTGGATTTTCTTTTAGCTTCCCTGGTCTGTTTCCTTCAGGCTTGTACCACAGGCCACCTTTGCTACCTACTAGTTCTCCTGTTAAAGGACTACCGAGCACAGATCAGACAAACAAAAGTCAAAGTCCCCTCATGACAAATCCTCAGATACTGCCAGCTACGCAGGATATTTTGAAGGCACTAAATAAGCAACCATCAGTAGGGGAGAATAAGCCAGTGGAGCTTCAACCAGAGAGGTCCTCTGAAGAGAGGCCGCATGAGAAACTCAGTGACCAGTCAGAGAGTAGTGACCTTGACCTTGACGATGTCAGTACCCCCAGTGGCAGTGACCTGGAAACCACCTCGGGCTCTGATCTGGAAAGTGACATTGAAAGTGAGAAAGAGAAATTTAAAGAAAATGGTAAAATGTTCAAAGACAAAGTAAGCTCTCTGCAGAGCCTGGCTTCAATAAATAATAAGAAAGACCACAGCAATCATTCCATTTTCTCACCATCCTTAGAGGAGCAGACTGCGGTGTCAGGAGCGGTGAATGATTCTATAAAGGCTATTGCTTCTATTGCTGAAAAGTACTTTGGTTCAACAGGACTTGTGGGGCTGCAAGACAAAAAAGTCGGAGCCTTACCTTACCCTTCCATGTTTCCCCTCCCATTTTTTCCAGCATTCTCTCAATCAATGTATCCATTTCCTGATAGAGACTTGAGACCGTTACCCTTGAAAGTGGAGCCCCAATCACCCAGTGAAATAAAGAAGATCTCAAAGGGAAGCTCTGAATCTCCCTTTGACCTCACCATAAAGCGTAAGGAGGAGAAGCCACTTACTCCTATACCCTCAAAGCCAACAGCCCCCTCTCTGACAAGCCAGGACCAGCCTCTAGATCTCAGCATGGGCAGCAGAAGTCGAGCCAGTAGCACAAAACAAGCTGAGCCTCGGAAAAACCACGTCTTTGGAGAAAAGAAAGGAGGTGACCTTGAGCAAAGGAAAGCTTCAGAGTCCTCCTTGCAGCATGCCAGGCCGACCCCATTCTTTATGGATCCCATTTACAGGTAATGGACTGTCTGCTGCCCTTCAGCCTCCTTTGGTACAGGCAGCTAGGTCTGCCATGGCCACCTGCCTGTGGATGCAGAATGACCCCGTTCCCCTTCCACTGTCCCTGGAGGTATCATCCCACCAGCAGGAAATGGGGTGGCCCAGGCTGCATGCTGACCTGTGCACCCCACCTCAAATCTGAGCTGTTCAGAGCAAACCCTGGGTTTGGTAATGCTGCATTTAGCAAGTCTTCATGACTGCCCTTGTTGCCATGAGTCATTAGCTTCACATGCAGAAGTTGAATATAATCCCTTACCTATAAACTAATTGTCATCAGTGTTGAATGTTTGTATATTTATTATGTGTTTGATATCACTGGTTTGTCCCAAATTCATTTTCTTCCAAAATGCTGCCCACTTGCCTTGGCTGCCCTCTGCCTTCCCATGGAAATTGCAGTGCATCTCACCAGGGTGCTGATGAAAAATGACCTTTCTAATTCCTCCTGAATTGAGTAGGAGTACAGCAAAGAAACAAATTTGTCCTAGGGTGTACAAAAAGTATGGAAATCAAGAGTGATTTCTGCCCTTTTTTACCGTTATTTCAAAAATGGGTTGATTTCTCCAGGCATGTTGTTAATATAATTTGAGATACAGTGTCCTTGTGTGTACAAAGCGTAACCAGTGGGCTAGTTAATCCAATCCACTTTATGAAATCAGTGGGAGCCTTGTCGTTGGCTTCGAAGGGTGCAAAAGCAGAGACTCTTAGTGAGCTGAGGTTTTAAAACATAGTGGTAAAATCCTGACGTCTCAGTGTTTCCCAGTAGTGCTGAGACGGGTCTCCCTGGGATCTGGATTTCACCTGCATTTTGCCCTTCACCATTCTGCTCATATGTCTGTAACCAGCCAAAGTCATGCATCTAAATTAGTTTAGAGAAATATTAGCCATGAAAATATTTGTCTGTAATATAAATGACTGATTTTACAGCCTATCGTTAAAAATGGTTAAAAAGAAAAAGTTGCTGCCATGTAAATGATGTTAATTTATTACTTTTTCTGAAAAAAGAAGTGCTGTGGGCAAAGTTTTTGAGGAAAGCTTTCACATAAGACAACAGGTATGCATCATGAAGAAACAGGATATGATGCTATTTACTGAGATGGTTTTATTCATGCTAGATTAATATCTGTAGTAGACCATAGGTTTTCTTTGCGTCATATTCATTTTAAGTGCCTGAAGCAGTGGAAATAATGATCCGTGTTTTATGGTCCTGCATTAAAAACTAATGAAATTGTACAAATTCTGGCAGTAGCACAAGGCAAATTGTTACCAAGGCTTCTTCCTTTGCTGTGAGTTACATCTATGTATGGACAACAGTATCTGTCCCTTTAACCATCCACATCAGTAACAGAAAAAGTTAAATTTCCTCAAATTTCCACACTGCTTCTCAATTACCTGCTCTGTGTTTTGCTACCTAAATGCCCACATGAGTTGATCACAGTCTTTGTTCCTGGCATATCATATTCAGTGTGTTCCTACAAGCCTTCCTATCTTGCTGTCGTGGTGCATGGTCATGCATAAGGAGATGTCTCCAGGATGGTGGCTGTGATGTCTTGCATACACAGACAAGAAGGGACCCATTGCTCAAGGGTCCCTGTTACCTGAATTCCTCTCCTCTGAGTTGCCTTATTTCTTTATAGAAGTGCTCAGTAGTTAGTCACTGGTTCCTATTATAATTATTAACCAGTCTTTTGAAATCGGATTATTTCCTCTCTAAATGGTATAATCTCCCTTTAATGACAATTCACAGCCCCCACCCGAGGTAATGAGTTATATGCGGGATTCGAGAGTTGACTGTACTTCCTTATCTTTTACCATTATCTCTGAGAAAAAAAATCACTTGATGTATAATTGACTATTTTAAACATGAGTAGCTGTATGATTATTAATATCTGAGACCGATTCATCACAAGCAAATCTAATTTTAACATTTACAGAGTAGAAAAAAGAAAGTTAACTGATCCACTGGAAGCTTTGAAAGAGAAATACTTGAGACCTTCCCCGGGATTCTTGTTTCATCCACAAGTAAGTATTTTGGGAATTTGGATGTTGTAAACAAGCCTGTTGATGCTTCAAAGCAGGTGCTGAGAAATGAATGCAGTCTTAGTCATTTTTGGATTTCCTAAAACACATAGCTTTTGCTGTACCATTGTGGTGGAAAAGCGTAAGCATTGTTCTGAGCTTCTTGATGTTTTGCAGATGAAACAACATGTTTTTATTATAGAGGAAATCAGATTCAAACTACATGTATGGTTTAGAATTGTGTTCCTCCAAAACCACAGCGTAGCTACCAACACTTGCAGCTACCTGTGTCTTTTTCACCACTCTCCCATGCTTTGAGCCATTGTGGTGGAGTCCATTGACTACAAGGAGGCGATGTAGATTCAAAGTTGGGCCAGCAAAGCTGAGACTCCCAGCTATCAGTATTTAAGAACTCCCAGAGAAGATTTAAAAAAACCTTCTATGCAATGCTTTTAAGTCTCATAATGCAAATGCTTCATCTTTTTTCTGATAGCCATTGTGGGCTATAGTGTGTGCAAGTACTTTGTAGAATCTCTGCTCCTCCATACCTGAAGACATGCTGTATGAGAGGGGTGCTGTCTTGTTCATAAGCCATAATCCTGCTGCTTATTTGCTGAAAAACAAACATTTGCGAGGGTGTCCCTAAAATGGTATTACAACTGCAATGTGTATGTAGTACAGAAAAAGGACCTGTATGTAAACTATACATTGCTTTTCTTCAACAGCACCAAAACCTCATTTTGGCTTCCTTCTCCTTTCTTAAGGAGATTTTGCTAAAAATTTGGGTTAAATCTTATGCCTAAATAAAATTATATTTGCAGATTTGCACCCCTTACTGAATATGGGCTGTTCCAGCCTAACAAGAACACCTCTTATGTATGCTGCATTTTAAGCACACACTCAGGAGGTGCTGTCTCTGGTTCAGCTTCCTCTGAATTCCTGAACAAACCATTCCAATAATCTGCCATCACTTGCCTTTTTTTAATTTTTAATAAAGTCAACAGTTGTTACGTCCTGAGTTGTATGGAACATATTTTGAAATACGGGCCTTCTGAGGAACTGGGAAGAGTAGCTGATGGCATATGTAGTTGCAAGATGCACAGACATAATGCTATAGCATTAGTAGAGACTGCAGAAAAACACCCCATTCCAGTTCCAATGCCCGAAGAAAGTGACAGATCTAGTAAGTATTAAAATCAGTGAGAATTTATGTACAGGATTTAACAGCAGCTCAGCACCTCTTGCTGACTTACCTTATTTGCCCAAGTTGCAAAGCAGCAGGTAAAAATTCCCATTTCACAGCAGATAGTAGTAATGCACAAATACACAGACAGGAGCTACATCCTCTTTGTGTTCCCTGTTGTAAAACCAGGCTGGTTCCTCTCCAAGTGAGTCAGAGGAGTGAAGGGCTGTAAATTCATAGTAAATTATTAAAATGAGGGCATTTTAGGTACACTGTTGATGAAAGAAACAGTATTATTTTGCTTTGCGATAGCTAGCTTTTCAGGAGGTGTAAACTGATTGTTATTTAATGAAGTTGGATTCAGGGGGCTCTGAAGGTTTTCCCTCAGGTTGGCCTGATGATGACAGTAGGTAGCGTGGTTGGTGGGTGGGAAAGGAGGCTGTTTGGGTAAAATGCACCCTTAGGAGATAAGCGGTGAGTGAGGAAGGAGCTGGATAATCTTCTATGTAGCATTGTATGACTCTGAGTTACACAGGGAACTGGAGGAGGGTTAATAGGAGTTAGACAAGGTTACTGTAAGTGTGCAGGTGAAATGGAGACATTGGGCATCTTGCCATTAGTGGACAGGATGCTGGGATTTCATCCTTTACATTTATTTCACAGAGTTGGTGATACCTGTTGCTGGTGCCTGAGGAAGGTCCCAGCTTGGTCACCAAGTCTGTCAGTGTGAGCAGGAGGTGTCAGATACCACTGCCCTCCAGCAGTGCCGGCTGAGGTGGGGCAGAGCCACCACCCTCTGGCAGGAGGGAGGGCTGGTTGTACGCTCACGTGGCTGAACCCATTCTTCCATATTTCTCACTGCGCAACAGAAAAGAAAAACTCCATGGTAAAGACTGGCTTTCATTTTATCACGTACCTAGCTGCTAGAGATAATGTCTTTAACTTGGTGCAAGATGCATGGATACAAAGGTCATGAGTGTAACATGCACTTTTAATACATTGTAAAAGAAAACTAAACCACCATCACATCCTGTCAAAAAGGTAATGCCAAAATCTTCTTTCTTGCAGACTTTAATAGAAAGGAGTCTCTTGTTTGGAAAGGCAGAATTTGGCTCGGTATTTATAGAGGACTGGGGAGCAGCTTGCAAAAAAGCTGGTTTTCCTTTACAGTTCTATTCACCCCTGTAAAAGTACAGGTGTGGAGTATACTGCAAGTTTTAATTTTCTCCTGGCAGGATTAATCTGTAAAATATGAACAGAATTATTGTTTATGTCCTACAGGGTTGTGTTTCTGTAGGTAAATTTCTTTCTGAAACTTGCCATCTGCTGAAGCAAGTTTTTTTTATTTTTTTTTTTTTTAACGGGATAATATGACAGCTAACAGATGAATATTTAAAATAGTTTTCTGAAGTAGAGATTAAAGACATAAACCCTCCAGTCCTTCCTCTGTCCTTGCCTGGGCAAAATTCCTCCCAGTGGCAGTGGCCTAAAAGCTATGAAAATTAGATCATTTAATGTTGTTTCACCATAATTTGCCATTGCAAGGATTACATAGATAGAGAGAATACCCCTATGTAACAAATCATTCAGACTAACATTTTTATTAGTATCTTTAAGTAAAATCTTAATTAGTAGATTGATTGCAATGAGGGTTCCAATGTGGGAATAATGTGTTGTTTTTGTTTCAATTTTGCTCCCAGTTCCAATTGCCTGATCAAAGAATTTGGGTAAGTTAATGGCTTATGTTTTTGATTTAATCATTCTGAAATAAATTGCATAAGAAAAATACAATACGAAAGATAACTTACGACTCAATTACGGAGCATGCCACACTTTCTTACAGAGTGTTATGTAGATAAATATCCTCTTACGTTATTTGGTGAAGGCAATGGGAGCTTTACCTGAGGGTTTCAAAATACAGTCTTTGTTTATATTAACTGAAATTGTTCCAAGCCTTTAGAACAATTTGGAAATCTGTTTCCTTCAGACATTGCAGTGAAATTTTCAGGCTGAAGTCTTGTTAGATTGCAGTAGTTATAAATATTTAATCTTCATTCGAGACATTGAAATACACGGCCTCAGAGGACTTCAGATTTCTATCTCGCATCAACTTCAGTGGGAGTTAGTCACTTTAATAGCACTGAAGTTTTGAGCTTAACTGACCCATTTGTTTGACATGGATTTGGGTCACATTTGCCCTGTGTGTATACTTACATCGTCACCCTTATGCAATCAGGAATTGTACTAAAAAGTACTATTGGATAAATTTGAGCCTTCTCTTCTATTTTTATAAAGCGTTATTTTTAATACTTTTAAATTGTTCACAAAGAAAAAAAAAGATCCACAGCAACTGCTTTTGCAGATGCAACTCAAATAACACTGTGTTTTGCTTTTGCATTGCTGGCTCTTCAGCTGCAGCACTGAACCCATAAATACTTGTCCCAGATTTTTCCCAACCTTTGGGCTTCTGAGGGGAGAGCTGGAGCCAGCCGGCTGCGGCTCAGAGCCTGACTCACTCTCACTCACCACTTGCAGTGCAACGTGGACTAATTTCACAAGACAAAGCCAGAATTTTGCAAAATGAGATCTGAGATCCTCATGTACACCTTCCCATGTGTGTCTCTACAAGGCTAGTGCTGGAGTTCTCAAAGATGCTGCCCGTGCTGCACTTAGCCCTTCCCATTGTCATCTGTGTCATCCATGGCACACTTCAAAAGCAGTGATGGACCTTTGCTTTGTGTACACATGGCTTTTAATCACATTTTCTTCCTGTAAGGCAATGGTTTATGCAGCTGCATAAGATGTGCTAGAATCCTGAGATAAAAGGGATTAGGCAGGCGCCAAAGGACTCCTGCAAGCACCCATAGATGCTGAATGAGCTCAACAGGTAGGAGGAAGGTTTGGATACCAGACTGAGAGAGCACAAAAGGTCATTCTTAAACATTTTCTTTGCAGTAGAGGGAACCCAGTGTAGCACATGAAGGGACCATGGTAGGATTTGTGATTTGGCCCAGGCACCCTGAATCCCCAGAAAAGTGGCTCTGTTTGGGCATATTTGGAAAGTTGAAAACTCCAGTGCAGTCTTTTTCTTCTGTCTGCTTCCTTTGATATTGGCTTGGTCCTCAAATTTCCATCATCCTGCTTTTTTTGTGAGCGTATGTCTCCTGGCTATGCTAGTGCTTTGAGCAGCTGCAGCAGAAATAGGTATTTAAAATATAAAGTGCCTAGAGCAGGATGCTGATTCATGGATAAATCTTCATCTTGAGAGATTTGAACACGTCACACAAGCCTTTCTAGCTCAATATGGCAGTTGCATGTGCCATATATTTCAAGATTATTTCAGATTGTTTTTAACTGTTTGGCAGGAACCCTATAGTGCAAGTCAATGGCAACACCCTCTCTTGGACAGATCATGATTTATTTAGTCTGCAAACTCTTTCATCTCCTTCTGATGCCATCATGAAAAGGTTGCTATAAAGTGGTTCCGTAATTAGAGTCACACTTTATTTGCACTAGCTTTACGAAGAATCATAGTAAATAATGAAAATAATTTTACAAATAAATGAAATTTGGTGAGTGCATTAACAAAGGTTTTATTTTACTGGGCTTATTTTAGGACATAATCCATTCTGTTAGGTCAGCTAAACCCCCACCAACTGCAGGAATACGAATAGACATATTTTGGAACCATACTGCAGATCAGCAGGAGTTTCTCGCTACTGCTTCATAAAGTTCAGCCACGTGTGATGTGTCTCTTGAATGTGAATATAGCTCAGCCAAGTCCCATGGCTGGACATCCAAATACACACAGTTTTGAGACAACAAATTCACAAGTCATAGTTCCTCAAGAAAGCATTATAACTTGAACTGGCAAGGAAGAATTCCTGAGCTTTAGCAGTTGGGTTTTCAAGATTTCTTTAAATAACACTAGTAAAAATAGAAAGCAAACATTTGAGCAGTTTTTTTTCCCATGAGTTACGGCCATAAAGTCAGTTTGGTTTTGCGATAATAGCAAGGAAGGAGTTGCGTTTGTAAAACATTAGGTCATGTAATTCATGACATTGTCTGCTAGACTATTTCATCAGGTTATTCTTAAAAACCAGCAACAACAAACCTTTGCTTTATTTATGCCACTTTTTCATCTGTTGGTTAATAAATTTTAAGATAAATGTTCAAGACCCCTGATGATGATATCTTGCCTGTTCAAATGTTTATAAATACTTGTTTTAGCCGATTATGGTAATGTCTGCATTTTTGAGTCGGAGCTGGGGAATTGCGACTGCATATTAGTTTGCGTCAGTAGGAGGTTAATAGCCTCTCAGGGAGCAGGAGGGAGGTGGGGGAAAGCTGCTTCCTTTTCCAGACATCTGGACGCAGATAGAATCAACAACTCTTATATATGTAAATCAAAAGTTACTGTTCTATATAAAATGCTGTCATTCACTGATCTCAGATTAGGAGCAGACGTGACTTGTCCATAAGGCAATAGCTGTATGTAAAGTATGTAATGGGATCTTCTCGCTCTCCTGACTCCCCAGACAGCTTTCATGGACATGGCAATTACACTAATCCTATCCTTGGGGTCAAGTGGTGCTTTCCTCCCCATGCTCTGTTCAAGGATCACCGCAGCCCTTGGGCACTCAGCTAGGGTGCAGACCCCTCCTGAAAGCCAAGCAGCTTGAGCCACACACCTGCCTCCATGGTGGTCCCCAGGACCATCCCTGGAGAAATTAGATGTCCACAAGCACCCACCTAACTTCCCAGGACAGATGCTATCCCTAACAGCTTGCTTCAGGAGTTTGGTGGATTGCTGATTCGTAGCATCTCTATGGTCAATGCAGTTCCTATGGCAGTAAGACTTGCTTTACCATCAGTAATAATGGTGTTTTGAAGGAGTGTGAGTTGCTTTGGTTGTGTTTCAGCTGAAAGAGGGAGTTTCATTGATGAAGAGGGGAAGTAATTTTCTGGGTTAATGATTAGTCAAAAAAAAACACCACCAACAATCTTGGAGGAAAAAAGCTAAGAATAAATTTGTGATGTTTACCATCATTGAAGATTATCGGTGAGTCCGCTTTGTGGTGGTGTCACTGGGCTCTGAACACTGGCATATGTCTGTAAATTACATAGGAAGAAGGGTGAATAAGCAAAGAGTAGAGTTTGAGAAGAGGATTTTATTGAGAACAGCTAAATCCAAAGCTGACTATGAAGATTTTGCAGAAGATTCATAGAAAGCTGAGTCACCAGGGATTAAAACAGCAATAAAACAGCAATAGAACTCAATGTCAGTAATACCGAGGGGAAAGTGTGACTCTTAAAATTCATGTCATTCAAGAAAAAAATATTCAAGTTGATAGTTTTATGAAGAATACCATCTGAGTGCTTAGCAGAAATTAATTGAAAACATTATTATGTTATACCGCCTTCAGGTCTTGAATACAGCTGAAGACCCTCTCAAAAAGGATATAGTACAATTAGAAAAGACAGAAAAGTGCAACAGTGATGATCAGAGGTAGGGAACAGATTCCATACAAAAAGAGACTAAATGAGACTAAATACATTTTGATTTTTTCTTTTCTTTTTATTTCTTTTTCCTTTTGGTTTTTTGCTTGGAAAAGAAATGCCCAAGGGAGCTGTGTCCCAGCTCTGAGAGGCCACGAATGGTGAGCAGAACTTGAATGAGAAATGGTTAATTAGTTTCAACAATACCAAAAAACAAAATGAGGGGCACCCATCTGAATTATCAGGCAAATGGCTTAGAAGAAACAAAAGCCAGTGTCTTTTCATATGCACCTAATTAAATCGGCAAACTCTTCTTGGCAAAAATATAAATGGATTCAAAAAGGGTTTCACCAGATGAATGGGAGCAGCAGCCACTAATGGCCATTCAACACTGTAATTGAGATCCAAACCCCAGTTAAGGTTCTCACACCCCTCATTGCTGTGCATGACAGAAGACACTGTGGTGAAGGTCTGTCCCTTGCCTGCCCTTCTGCACATCCCCTGGGGCCACTACTTGAAACCAGGGTATCAGCTTCCCAAAAATGTGTGTTGCAGGTTTATAACTCCTGCTTGATTTTGGTGCTGAAGTTAGTCCTCAGTGTGACAAACCCCAGATTTCGCATTACATAGTTAGTATTTTGCAGGTAGACTACCAGCATATAAAGTAATTGAGAGCTTGTGGGTTTGGGCTGGCAGGATTTTATGGGCTGTAACAAGCCCATGCAGCCCAGGTGCCCATCTTGCAATAGGGAATTGCACCCCAAAGGCCCCAAGCACCAGCAGCATGCTTAGGACTTGTAAAAAAAATGCCCCAGTTTTTGGTTCTTGTGACCCTATCTCCAGCAGATGGTAACAGTGGAGTGGCATCTGCTTGTATCAGCACAGGCCTGGGGCCAAGCACTTCCCGTTGTTGCTGGTGCATTTCTTGAAAAATATAAATCATACCAGGTAACTACATATATCGGTTTTAAAAAAACCCAATAGTCATTCCTACAGTGAGAAACATATTTTTGGAAAGCAAGTAATACTTTAAAATAATTGGACGTGCTCATGTTTCCTCTGAATGAGGGATTTAAGATTAGATGCTGATTTCATACCTATTTTCAGACTGATGTAAACCTGGAGGCAGTGTTGGAGGTGGTGCTGATCTGCACTGCCATACATTAGAGAAGAATCGGTCTTGATTTCTCCTCTGCAAAATCCTGGAAATAAGAACTAAAAAAAAATAAGCATGACTAAGCCATTTCAAATCTAAAGGAGAAAATAGTTGCCCTAATGTATTACTGTAGGGGACCATGTACATGAGAAATGATGATCCAAAAATGATTTAAAACCACTAGATAATGAAACTGACTTGAATATTAAATATACATAAATAAAACATTTATTATACTTCTCAATGCCCTTATTATTCTTCACTGTAAATATGTGCTATCATAACCCATGCACTGTCTTGTCACTGCTAATCAGCCTGAAGGCCAAAGGTCATTTTTCATTCAAACCATTTATTTTCCACAATTGCAAAATAGACGAATGAATTCTTGGGGGGAACAATTAGAAGGAATTAAAGACAGTGGAAAGACTATTATAAAAGCTTTAAGAATCAATTCTGACTAAAGAAAAAGATGAAGGCATATAAAAAGAAATATATGGTAATGTTGAGTTGTATGGGTTGATAATGACATCTCAGTGCTGAGATAGAATTACCTTCTCTCCCAGCAGCATCATCATTACATATCTCATGCCTGTGATCAGTACATGTCAAAATCCTTCATACTGACAAATGTGCTGTCCACTTGCATCTGTGGAGAATGTTTTAGCAGCTGAGTGATTATGAATCAAACCCCAGAGCTTACAGCCCCTACCGCCTCACAGTGCTTTCACATTTGTTGTCTGACAAGTAAATGTATCTTGACTTCCCTCTGAGATTTTTTTTTTCACCAGGTTTGATAAAAGACATTTGGCAAATTGGCAGTGGTACCCTGTACATTGCAATTTGTACTCAGCATTAGGAATCTGAGCATGAAATGAGAGGGCAAGCTACAGGCTAAAGGGAAAAAAAAAACCAAACCCACAACCCAAAGCCAGAGCTAACCAGCGTGTGAGTAGTCATTCCAGGAGACAAATACACAGCTCTGCCCATTAAAATAAAACTTAAAAAAACCCAAAAAACTAAAAAAAAAAAAAAAAAAAACCAAACAAAAAACCACCAAACCCAAATGTGGAATTATTCCCATTAAATAAAATTTTAAAATCCCAACAATCAAAGCAGTCTCTTAGGGATTTTGAAGATCGGGCTGTAAAGGCGTTCTCAGCTAAGGAGCATTCAGCATCTTTCTTGTAATTTCCTTCTTCATTACAAGCAAGGTATTGCACAGGGCTCATGCTGTGGTTTTTATGCTCTGTAGGTGAGATCTTGGGTTTCTTCTTTTCTCGTTTGTTTGTGGTGTTATGAAGAGGCAGATGGTTACTTCTGCCTGTCAGAAGGCTCAGCAGCAGTTATGGACTGTCCAAGTGACAATGTTTGAGATTTTGGAGCAGTTTCTCATGGTTGGATCAGGACATGTTAAAGGAAACCATTCTCCAGAAATTATTTAATCCCTCTCCCTGAAAATTAGAGACAGCTAACCAAGAGTGGAGATATCCCAAAGCACATAGGGTTTACAAGTAACTAAAAGAATATTAAGTAACTAAAAGAATATTAAAGAGGTTGGAATATTAAGAGGTTGTAGAAAAAATAGGATAGACATCTAACAGGTAATGTGAACACATAACACCAAATCCACCAAAGCTTCATTTCTTAAAGATTTATAGTCTTTGACTGTGATGGGCCATAAGACTGGGCTGAATGCTTGCTGGGACATTGATGGAGCCCCTCTGGATCTGGCTTCTTGCTGCCCTTGGTTGAGCTAGAGTGTTCCTCTGCAATATTTGTCCTCTGCCAGTCCTTTAAAAAGACCCAAACTGCAGGAATTGAGTTGTTGGGATCTTTATTTTTTCTGTTGATCTGGTCAGAAATGGCCAATGGTTTCAGACTCGCAGGTGCAAACTCACAGACCATGACTGCATAAACTGGAATTTTACAGAAGCTGAGGCTTAAAAACAGGAAGAATGAACACCGGCTAATTTAGATGTGTGGAAGCAGCTTTACATTATAGCAGTTAGGGCAAGAGCTCTGCTGTACACTGGGCTTGTACAGAAACAGCACCCTGCTGTTACAGTTATAGGCATTATTCCAAGTGGAACAACATTGTGGCCACCACCTTGCCTAATGTGCCCCATAATTTTTGAGACTGCAGCTCTACATTTGCTATTTTTTTTTCCCCCCTTCCTCTTCTTTTGGCTTTTGGCAGTGTATGTTCTTTGTATTCTGTATTTCCAGTGAGGGCAGACACACAAAGGAGTTACTTACCATGACAGGTTCTGTGCTATGTTCTGTTGCAGATGTCAGCTATAGAAAACATGGCTGAAAAGCTGGAGAGCTTTAGCACCCTGAAACCAGAGGCCAATGAGCTGATCCAGTCGGTGCCATCCATGTTCAACTTCCGTGCGCCACCGAGCACTCTGCCAGAGACACTGCTGCGGAAGGGCAAGGAGCGCTACACCTGCAGGTAGCCGCAGGTCCACCCCACGCTGCTCTCTCAGGCTTCTGAAATCCCCCCCGCTCAGATGGTTGACGGGGACCATGGCAGGTCTTTCAGGGCTTTTTATGCCCAATAAAACATGGAAAGCGTTTTGCTTTGGGGATCTTACTTACTAAATTATTGGTGTTATGAAACAAAGAGCTTGCCCTGTATCATACTGGTTTGATAAATGAGGTGGAAACTATTACATAATCAATCCTTTTTTTCCAAATTTTCTCCTGACTTTCATATGCACAAGTGTGCTTTCATTATTGCTTTTTTTGATCATAAACTACAGACGTGTTTTTTTCTCAGGCTTCTGCTTTTAATATCCAAAGGGATCAGTGATAAAATACATGACTTATTAGGATTTCTATGTACAGACTTAAAGAAATACAATGAAGATAGTCATTGTAAGTGCAACCTAAATGAATGGGAGCTTTGTTGAGGAGAGTAGAATTAGTTGTGTGGGTATTTTGAAGGCTTATATATCACATAGTGAAAAAATAAATGGGATGTTAAAAGCGAAGGGATGCAATCTTCAAAGTCATCACATGGAGCGACCACTACCCTCATTCACTTAAGTGTTGTGCGTACTCTGATCCCATGCAAAAAATGGGCTGAATGTCCTTAGTAGAACTGGGCTGATTATGAACTGAATATTAATACGTTACTTGAACAAAGGGGGAGGGCTCATGTTAATTTTTTTCCCCATTATTTTTCCTGTAACATATTATTGAGTTTAGAGAATGGTTTTTAAATTGCATTATTTAGATCTGTGTATCATCACCAGAACACGCAGGTGTTTGACACTGGCATATCAGGTTTATCTGATCTATTTGAAAACATGTCGCCTTCTTTCAAGACATGTTGTTATGGAAACATACCTTGATGGATTAGGTGTTTGAGTCTTGTCTGCTCTGATGCTTTTCAGTGCACAGAATGATGTCATGTTTGCTGACACATAAAATTGGTTGAAAGGTTTGAAATTTGCTTACATGGAAGCAGAAGTCCAAGGCTTTAGTAACAGATTCTCTTGATTACAGATCTGAATGTGACCAATAATCACATAGTGAGCTTAGAAATTTGGGGTGGTCTTTATAACTGGTATGCTTTCATATATCCCTTGCTTACGCAAAAGAAAAGCTGGTCAGTGCTAGCAATTCCAGTCCTATTCTTCTGTGGTTGCGTCAATCACATCCATTTGCTCAATGCTTTTATTGAAATGTTGTCACACCAATGCCATGCCAGTAATTCCATTTGGGCTGTGCATCCAGTCCAGCTCAAATTGGGATGAAACCACTGAAGATTGTGGTACCTTACCAAACTTTTTCTTATCACAGATACTGTGGCAAGATTTTCCCGAGATCTGCAAACCTAACACGCCACCTGAGGACGCACACTGGAGAGCAACCTTATAGGTACTTCAAGCCCATATCCCATCTGTGGCACGGTCAAGGGAATTAAGCAAAGGAATGAGTGTTCAACAGCCGTGTGCAGCTAGCTTTGGTGCTTGCTTCTTAGCAAGTACCCACTACTGTGTTTTGGTCTCGAACAGGGCTTTTTGCATTCAGTGCTGGTACTCGCTGTTGGAGCTGTGGAGCTGGGGGAAGGTCTTGGTCCTAATTAATGAAATTCTTTTGGCTTACGCAGCTGCCCAGGCACTGTCTGCAAATCCTGCCTTTGCCTCATGGGATAGCTGGCACTTCAGAACCAGAATGATTGAAGTGATTTTCAGTAGGACTCATGGTCGTATTTCCCCTTGCAAAAAAATTTTTTTTGGTAGGAGCTCTGTGGTATTATTTACAGCCTAAAGTTGAGTGTTTTGTCAATCAGCTGGTTTCTGGAAGGTCCCAGTTGTAAAGGCATTACTGTATTTATTTGTTTCTTGCCTAATCTGGATCCTTTCTGAGGTCTGCCTGACCAAAACCCATGTGGGTGTACTTCCTTGTTGATAAAAAAAGTATGTATGTGATATTGTGTCTAGGACAGTCACATGCAGAAATGTGTGAATAGAAGCGTCACCTTATTGAAAATGAAAGACTAATTTAAATCAACTGGAAAGAAGCCGCTTCATGTTCCAGTAAAACAAATGTACTGATTTCTGCCATTTTATGAGCTGTAAAAAGCAGAGTAAGCTCATTGTTTGTGAGGAAACAATGTCTTTTGCCTCTAGTCTCTTTGGGAAATGAGATTCACATCTAATTTTATTGAAGGAAGGTCTTGATGCATGTTATACCTGTTCACTGCATAAAAGCCATGAGCAATTAGTAACATAATGAATGATTTCAGCACTAAAAAAAAATTGACATCATTGACAAGCGTAAGAGAAGCACGGGAGAAGTAAAAGATTGCAAAACTCAAGTGATGAAGACTGTTGGCTGGTTGCCAGCCAAAGAATTTGAAATAGTTATAGTATGACTTAGTAATGACTTAAAGAGCAATACAGTAAAGGCTTTAGGGACTCCAAATCGCTACAGAGTATGAAAATTGATGCCTCTGGTACCAGAGTGATAGACTAAACTACTCACATTGGCACAATATGAAAGGTTGGGATTGTTTATTGCTGTTTTTTGCAAGATAACCAAATTTCCTCTGGGATTAGCAATCAAGCAAGCTAATTCCTCAAGAAAAGATTTAATCACACAGTATAATTTAGAATAGGAAAAGAAATAGGCCTTTTTACCTTATTTGAGCATTAGAAGAGATCTGTTTCATGTTTTTTCCAGAAGTGTTTAATTGTATTGTATTGGCAGCACATGAAACAATAGTTATTGCTCTACTGTTTTCAAACTTCTCAACTTTGCATGCAACAGTTTCAAAAACATGGGAATCAATTACCTTAGCTAATATGATGACATTAACTCTGAAATACTATGCTTATTACTGAAGGCAGTATTTAAAATATAAACCCAATGTGAATTAAAGCTAAAAAACCCACCATAGAATTTACATTTCCATTCCGAGAATACAGCTCTCCATTTATTCAGCCAAAACTTGTCTGGATTTCAGGGAGGGTTTTGCCTTAATAGGGACCAAGGAACTGCAGTTGGGTACTGAGGCTGAGTCCAGAAGGTGCTTTATGTCTCATGTCTCTTCGTGTCTCTTACATTTCCATCTACTAACAAACCCTTTTCTACCCTCTTGTTTTGGTTTGGTTTTTTTTTCAGATGCAAATACTGTGACAGATCCTTTAGCATATCTTCTAACCTGCAGAGACATGTCCGTAACATCCACAATAAAGAGAAGCCATTCAAATGTCACTTGTGTGACAGGTGTTTTGGTCAACAAACCAATCTTGACAGACATCTAAAAAAGCACGAGAATGGGAACATGTCTGGTATGTATGCCTTTTCCCTCCCCACTATGCCCTACATACTGCCAGTGTTCATATACGGGAACTGCATGTTCACTTTCAATGCTACTCAGTGTCAATAGGCACGCGTTGCTCTGTGCCGTCTGCTGCAATGAGTGGGTGTTTGGAAAATATGTAAGTGCCTAAGCTCTGCTGACATGTAAAGTGCTTTGAAAATCCCAGTATAAACTCTACTTTTGTATAACTTAATACCACTGGATGATGTCTTTTCTTTTGGTTTTAATTAAGCCAACCATACCATTTTGAGAACAGACTGGGAAAATTGGTTTAATCCCACTTCTGCAATCACTTGGCTCTCAATAGGAGTCCTAGATTTAGAGTCTCAGAGGGTACTCTAAAAGATTTTCTTGGCACCTTCTAAAATATTCCCACTGTCAGGAGCTGAAAAGCGCTAGCTATTATGGAGGTAATGGTGCCTCCCAAGCCTCAAAGCAAATTGGTCACTGCACAGCAGCAGCAAAGGCAGTGGCAGGTAGTGGATGTCATTGGTGTGTTTTAGGTATCTGCAGGGTTTAATGAAAATCCTGTCTGCAGTCTTTTGAGTATACACTTTACTCCTCTGGAAATAACCAGATATATGCAGTGAATGCATAGCTGTCTTTTCCCCAATGCTCAAAGATGTCTGTCACTGATGTGTCAGTGCTAATGAACCCGGGTGATTATGTCAATGGCTGTGCACTGACATATGAACGTTGTTCCATCTGTAAATCCACATAACTGTAGCTAATAAAAAGAAGTTCTGTTTGCTCAGTTCAGTCATTGGTCTAACAAAGTTACTGACCAACAGTCTTGGAGTCACAAGGGAACAGGAGGAAGATGTTGAAATAGATACTTGGCAAAAGTGATTATGAACCATGGAAGTGGCACCCAGCATGCAAGCCGTTGTTTTGGCTGCAAACCACATTTGCCCATAGATAATACCACTTCCCTTCTAATTAACAGTTTTATGGCTGAAAGCTGATAGATCACTATGACCAACTGTTTCTGATTCTCACCCATTTTAACCATCATTTCAATTTTAATTTGATATAAATGTTCAAACATAGAAAATGTAGAAGACCAACAATAGAAGTCCTCTGTTTTGCTTTAAGGTACTGCAACATCTTCACCTCACTCAGAACTGGAAAGCACAGGAGCAATCCTAGATGACAAGGAAGACTCTTACTTCACAGAAATTAGGAATTTTATTGGAAACAGCAACCACAATAATCAATCCCCCCGAAACTCAGAGGAGAGGTAAGTTGCGTCGGATCTGCATTCAAAAGGTGCAGCTCTTCAGGTTTGCTGGCCTATTAAACCTGATTTTTCACTTTAGATGATGTCTGGAGACAGAGTTACTTTAGCAATCTGGTTGCTTCAGTGTTCCGTTTGCTGTATTACAAAAAGAAGCATGTTGATTCCCTCCCCATCGTGCGTGACCATATTGCCAGTGGCAAATGCTGGAAAGAAGGTTCCATCTATGAACAGATTTCTCCTTGTATCAGAAACTCTCATTTTCCAGTTCCCATCATTAATATAAGTCTGTTGAAAATTTCCCTCATTTTACGTTCATGGCCAAACAAGTGGATTGTGCATCCTGTGACTAAGTGTAGAGAGCCTTAAGATTTAAATGCAATTTAAATGTGTAATTAATAAAGTAGTCTAAGCTAAATTCTTGGATCAAATGAAAGATTATAACTGAAAGTCCTTTCCTGTGAGTAACTCAATCCCAAGTAAGATGCTGACCAGCAAAAAGCCTGCGAGGCTGTGGATGAGTGTTGGTAGTCCACCTGTACTCCAGCATGTGAAAGAAATTTTCCTTCTAAGGTTTATTAGGTATATGGGTGTTTCAATTCTTCTGAACTAAAAGAAGAGAGACTACTTCTAAATATTTTCAGCTAACAAAAATACAGCTAAGCAGAAAAGGCTGTATCAGGGATACACATGTCAGCTATACATATTTCTTCAAGATTGGCGTTGCATTATGCATTATTTACACTTTTGAATTGGCATTACATTACCAGCATCAAAAAAATCTTGCTGTTGGTGACAAATTTCACTGTCTTCTCAATTTCCAGATGCCTTTGCAAAGGGATAAAAATGGTGGACATAACATAATTTCCACAAAAGTATTGGATTAAGTGATTACATGCATATTCAAATTTCAGTCTTGATTGGCAATGAGAGCTTGGGATTTTTTCCTTGCACATCTGGTCTCAACATGTCCTCTGACAGGAAGTCAGCAAAGTGGAAAGGTTGCTGGGTTGTGCAGTGTTTCCTTTCTGAATTTGGCACTTCAGACTGCTCTTGACGGATATTTTATCCCTGGCAAATTGCTGCATTTGAAAGCATAATTAGAGAATCTGTTTTCTTAATCACATGGCTTTTGTTACTTTGGTTGTAGTCCATCTCCCTTTCATTTCTAGCAGCCTCAATTGAGCATAACAAGCAAGTTGGCAGCCCAAACCGTGCTCAACAATTTCTTATTTCTGCCTATTTAAATAAAAGACGATAAAGAGATATTGCTCTGATTATCTTAGAGGAGGGTGGCTGCTTCAGCTCTCCCAACTCTGCACAGCCTCAAATTTTTTGATACTGTGATATAAACAGACCATTCCCTAGCTTGCTTTTTTTTTTTAAATGTAGTACTTAACTCATGACAATCCGGAATTTTCTCGGAAAATAGATGAAACTCCATTGTTTTTAGGAAAACGATGCTATTGTTGTATAAGAAACCAGCTTTCACTTGTCTATGCTCTTATATCTCTTATATAAGCAAGTCATATATCTCTTATATATATCTCTTATAACAGCAAGTCAAATGTTAAATTCTAAATACACTGCTATGGCTCATCCTTATCTTGCCCAGACTTTTGGTTGTATTCCATATTGTCCCACACAGTTTAAAGCACACGAAGTCTAAAGCAAACTGCGGGGGGACAATAAAGTTTCCATTTTTATAACTGTATTCCTGGAAGAGTAAGGACCTTTTGCACAATGAGAACAATAGATGAATCAAGGCCCTGTGCTACATAACAAGCAGATACACTGGTAGCGTGTATTTGTGTGGCTCCACTGAGTACTGCCCTTCTACACCACTAGTACCTCTGGCCACACATTTGTTGATGCAGTAATGGTGCTGAACTTCTTTGCCTCTCATTTAATGCAGCAGACATGATGCAGCTTTAAACGCTCAGAATCCTACAAGGTTGAGGCCGTTAGCAAATGAGCCCCTACTTCAGCATGGGTATTACGTCCTTGATAAATTCTCCTAGGAATAGTTAAGAGAAGCTATTGTCTGAAACCAAAGGACAGCGTAATAATAGCGAGTAGACCAAATGGTTTTCCATGTGGGTATTGCTGTAATTACTCATTTAATAGGAAGAAATACACTTGAAATGTTATGCGACCTTTCTTTTCATTATTTCTTACCCTTCAAATCAGTCAATAATGTAGTTCAGTGTGGAGGCAATATTGTGGGCTCCTCTTCAGATCTTTAGCTGAAGTCACTTAGGTTCCCGTGTATGTAATCCATATGTTCAGTGAAGTAGTATGGCTTCCAAATGGGTGGTAGTGTCCAAAATTAATTGTGCGTGTAATTTTCACTTTAAAACCCTGATTGCAGTATTGGATGTCATTTTTGAAAATGCCAGATCTGATTTTCAGAGTTTCTTGGCCCCTACAGCTTCTGCTAAAAGGCAGTGAGTTGTTTTGCACAGACTACATACGTGATTGGAAACATGAGATGGAATAATGCATGAGAAAATTTGGAATGGATATCTGAACATACCTCCACTTGAACAGTAGTTTTATCAGGATAAATGGAAAATACCATGCTCGTGGTACCATAACGTCCCACTGATTTTTTAGGAGAAATTTTGCCAATTTTCTGCCTAAACGTCCGAAGCTAACCAAGATACAAAATACAGAAATCACTTTATTCTACTGAGACAGATCATTTTGACATCTACCTCTGACAATCTGCTGGTGAGGAGCTTTCATAACTGATTTGTGATTATTGCTGGGGTTTCTTTTGATACTTTCAGAATGAATGGCAGCCACTTTAAGGATGAAAAAGCCATGGTAGCCAGCCAGAACTCGGATTTGCTGGACGAAGAAGAGGCAGAAGATGAAGTAATGATGGACGAAGAAGATGAAGAGAGTGAAATTGCAGGGAAAGCAGTCAAAGAGTCTGTTACGAGTGATATACATGAGGGAACTCCGGAGGAGGATTACGAGGAAACAAGTACTTTGGACATGAACTGCAAAGCTTCCCCTGGCAGGTTGGTTCCTTCCAAGTATTGGCATGCCCGATATATGGAATAAACACAATAAACCATACAAGAGTGCCAGTGCCAAAATGTGTGCTGTGGGAACCGGTCCAAATTAGCCAGCTTCCCAGTTACAATAGCAACATGTGTCTGTGTTTGGGTCAATACCAGCCCTGTTTTCAGTCTCTCGATGCAGTCTGTAGCCCTTAAGAGGAAAAATAAATGTGCTCAGGGAGCTATTGTCAAGTTTGGGGTGAGACAGGAAATGTTCATGGAGAGAAGTTACCTGCTCCGTAAACCGACCTGGATCTCTCGTAATGGTTTTGTGAAATGCTGTGGAGACACCAGAAGAGAGACAATCTCTCCCTCCCCTGCTCCCACTGCCCACCGTTTCCTCTTTAGAAAATAAAGGGAAATATATTTTATTTCAGGATCAAAGTTCCACAGAGCAAGGTGGTTTATGAATGTAAAAAAGGGGGTAATTCCTCAGATATGTAAATCTGAGAGAATGAGGGAATGCAGAGAAGATCATTTAATTGATGTTAAACCTCCATGGTATTTTTGTAGGTATAAAGAGGAGGAGTATAATAAGACTGGACTTTCAGCTTTGGACCACATAAGGCACTTCACAGATAGCCTCAAAATGAGGAAAATGGAAGAAAATCAATATAGTGAAGCTGAATTGGCAGCTTTCAATACTTCCCAGCTGCCAGAGGACCTAAAACAACCATTGTACAGGAAATCCAAGTCCCAGGTAAAAGCTTAACTCAGTTAAAATGTTACTGTCACCAAATACCGGAAGGATTAAACTGTTAGTGTGTGGCAGGCAAGGTTGTTTCAGCTTTGTCAGACAGGGCTGTGCTCTGCACCCACAATCCTCAGCCTGCCCTGACCCAGTCCTGTGCTCCCATTGCACCTGGGAGACTTGGCAGGTGCTCTGGTCCCTGATAATGGAGGGGTTTCTTTTCTGCAATTTTTGTTCCTGCCTGCCAGCCACAGAAATAGCATGATAAGAAGTAGTCCCACTCTGCTTTCAGACAGCTGGCATGGTCACCATGATGCTGTGGAGTGTAGCTGCTGCCTTGAAGGGATTTGACTTGACCTTCTAGCTGGCTTGTCTTTTTGGTATTCATTATTACAGCCTGTTGGATGTTACTGCCTTTTGGTCCTCAGCATGCTTTTCAAACTGCAATAACTAGGCTGATATCCTAGTGCTAGTTCTTGATTTTTATTGAAACATTAATTAAAATGGGTCTTTTTAGGCCCTTAAAAAAATAAAATAAATCCATTTAAAAACTGCAGAATATGCCTGTAGAAAAGGACAGCACTGGAGACTAGTATTTGGTAAAATACAGGACCAGCCAAGGGATAATGTGATTTCTCAGGCTCTTGAAAAGAGCCTTCTGTGCCAAGAATCTGAAGGCAAAGGAGACTCTGAGACCTTGTCTACTATCAAAGGTTTCTCAGAGCTTTGTGAAGCCAGATGAAAGCAGAAATTATTATTACTGTTAGTGAGTCAAAAGTGTCAGTGAAAAGGTTGACAGTGGTTTTACCTAATGCATTTTGATTTTTCTAAAAAAAAATTGAGAATAGCAGTTGTCGCCTAAATGATGCCCTAACTGTGTAGGATGGCATGGGTCCAAGCTCAGATCCATGCCGCAGGATCATGACCTATTTGTCCTTCTTCTTTCCCCATCCAGGCGTATGCGATGATGCTCTCTCTCTCTGACAAGGACTCCCTTCATTCTACATCCCACAATTCTCCCAATATGTGGCACACTATGGCAAGAGCTGCTGCAGAATCCAGCGCCATTCAGTCCATCAGTCACGTATGACATTGTGAAGTCTTACCGAGAATGGGACCAAGTCCAAACCAGTAGCATGGCTCTTTCATATATGACTATTTAAAAGACTGCTGAGCAGAATGCCTTATAAATCTGCAGGGTCACTCATTTAAAGTCCGGTGACCTTAAACTGAATAATTTTAAAAAGAAAGAAACTATTTATTCTCAATATTTTGTTTTGCACAGCAAAGGCAGCTGCTGACTTCTGGAGGATCAATGCGACTTAAAAAAATAAAAGTTTCAGTGGATTATGTAAACCGGGGCCGGGAAAAAATGTCTTCCAGTTCACCCGGCTTTGAGGGGCAGGGGCAAAAGGGTTAAGACTGCATTGATACACACATGGGCACTCCTTTAAAGTAGGAGCTGAATTGATTTTCTTTTTGTATAAGATAGTTTGACACAGGATTGGGAACAGTTGCTTTCATGTACAAATCTCTTCATTAAAGCTTTATGCATTTTAGCCCTTCAAAGAAAGAAAATAGTTCTATCAAATGCGCACTATCCATCGTAAATGCAGAAAGAAGTAACAGGGAATATTTTGTTCTCTCCGTGATTCTTTTGCCTTCTCAACAGCATTGTTTAAAAAAGGAAAAACAAAAAAAAAAAAAGAAGAAAAAAAGAACTCTGAGAAAGAATACATAAGAGGCTTGTGTATATTGTAAACTATGAATGTTCACTACTCCAAGAAGCTGAATCATCCAGATAATTCCGTGAAAGCACTGCGTTCATCGACAGCACCACTAGTTCAAATCATTGTAAGGATTTAATTTTCGACAATCATGTCACTATTTCGTTGTATTATTTCTTTTCTCCCCCACCCCCACCCTCTAATTTCTTCTTTGTGTTGTGTGTACCATGTATTTATTTGTTGGCAAACGATTGTTTGTTGATTAAAATTAGCACTGTTCCTGTAACAAACAGCACTGCTCCAGTCCCCTGCTGCGTTACGATGTAAGGCACCCATGTACTTCAACATAAGTGAGGTGAACTGATCTGTGTATATGGGAGTGCAAAACAGTGTTTGAAATTTTCTTACATTCCTCTTTTATTTTATTTTTGCCTTTTAATGAACTAAATAACTAATAGATGCAACTTAGGGTTGTTTTGTTTTGGATTTTTTTTTTTGTAATACAGTAAATTGATTCGATTGTATAAACAGTTATAATTTCTTCATGAAAGCATGATTCTTCTGATTAAAAAACTGTACCCAATATTTTAAGCTGGTTGTCTGCGAACTTGTGTGATGTTATTACGTTCATGTTAATCCTATTTGTAAGATGAAGTGTTCCAAATTTATGTTTAAAAAAAATAAATAAATAACGGAAGGTATTCAGTTATTTTTGGGGGGTTTTTTTGGACTTTAGTGAGGGACCAGATTTATTTTTCCTTTTGTTTATAATCTCATTTTGAAATAATCGGCAAGTTGAGGTACTTTCTTTAAATGCTTTGTACAATGTAACTGTTACGCATTTCAGAGGATCAACTTAAAAAAAAATAATAAAGGACTACAAAACTGAAGGGATCTTTTTTTTTTTTTTGTCCTTTTTTTGTCTGGGTCAGGGAAAAATGACATAATTTGTCTGCAGTCTGGGGAGCAAAGGCTGTGTCTGTTGGGTCATATGGATAAGGGTAACCAGAGGATGGGGCATTGCAGATCATCTTCCTCTCATTCATGCGTTTTAGGACCCAGTCCAAAGTCTCTCAATAGACCATTGAAGGGATTTAGACCAGTCTACGTGATCTAAACTACCTTGGAAAAGAGAAATATTTAACTCATTTTACAGGAAGGATTGGTGCAAAGTCACCTTCAAACACTTACAGAGCCTTGAGCTTGGGCTGGTGATGCAACCACCTCCACCTGCTGTTCATGAGGATGACGTTGGGAAGCAGCTGGCTAATACCAAAACATTGACTCACCAGAATGATAGAAGTCCATAGTTGAGAAGCTAAATGGGCCTCTGACTGCACGAAATGAGCTTTTAATGTCTAAAAGAAAACCAAACTTTAGTTTGAATGTTCCCTTTGAAACTGGGTGCAGAGCCCAGCTTCTTCTAGACCTGCAGAGTGGTGGGAGGTGGATGACCAGGAGGAGCCAGCATTGGCCCAGGTGATGCATATTACTGCACTTCCTATCAGCAGAGATGGAAGACCTGAGACAGCTCCAAAGGAGACCGTGGGGATGTCCCTGCCTGCCAGTGCAGGCCAAGCTTGATCTTTGCAGCTACTGCACAGGGTTGTCCTTCAAGTTTAAGTGACTTGAAAGACTGAATATGACACCCTGTAAAGTCTTTTTTTTGCAGTGGGACCAAGGCTTGCTATTTCCAGATGCTAGGGAGCTGGCATGAGCAGCAATGAGGGAGCACAGCACTGGGTATCAGTAACCCAGGCCAGCTAGTACCAAACTGCATATTAAATCCAGTGCTGTCTCTGTGGGAAAGAAACATTTAGGGAATATGATTTGCAGGAGATTTGGTTAAATCTGGCTTCACTGAAGCCAAAATTACCTCCAAAGATGGAGGACTCTCCAGGCCAAAGGCAAGGGGCGCTCCTCTCTCAGTCTGTTTCAGTACATGACAGATAAAAGCATTCAACACTGTCAAAGTGGGTGTCAAAGCGTTTGACACTGTCCCACACAACGTCCTTGTCTCTAAATTGGAGACATCAGTTTGATAGATCGACCACTCAGTGGCTGGATGGCTGCATGCAAAGAGTTGTGGTCAATGGCTCAATGTCCAGTTGGAAAGCAGTAACGAGTGGTGTCCCTCAGGGATCGGTGTTGGGACCTGTCTTCTTCAATATCTTTGTCGGTGACATGGACAGTGGGATTGATGCACCCTCAGCAAGTTTGCCAACGACACCAAGCTGTGTGGTTCGGTTGATAAGCTGGAGGGAAGGGATGCCATCCAGAGGGACCTGGACACGCTTGTGAAGTGGGCCGATGCCAACCTCATGAAGTTTAACTAAGCCAAGTGCAAGGTCCTACACGTCGGTCGGGGCAATCCCAGGCACAGCTACAGG